GGAGGAAGAAAGGGTTAGCAGCGGCGGGAGAGGCCTGGCAGCGCTGGCACGGGTGATCTTTCCAGTCTCTAGATGAAACATGTAAATGTGTACGCGTGTGTTCATGTGGGTTGGGGACTTCAGAGCAAAGCCCTGGGGAGGGGAAAGACTGGGGATTCCAGAGAAGCCAGCTCACGCTGCCCCACCTCCCCCCCTTCCACTACTCCCACTGCCGCGCTCTTGCTGTCTGCAGTTGAAAAGGAACCTTGGCAGTCATGTTTGGACCCCCCCACCTCTCCCCCCCCCCAAGATGGTGCAGACAAGAAATGGAAGCCCAGAGCGGGGAAGGGGCTTGCCCAGCGAGACACAGTGGGCACATGGCCTAGTTGGCAAGCCATAGGCCATAAACGACCCTGCCCCTCCGCTCACCCGGGCCCAGTCAAACCCGAGGCTGGTCCTACCTTCAGAAAGGTCCAGAGGGGGCCCCCTTGAATCCTCAAAGCTCAGGACTGCCCATAGGCCTTGCCAGAGCAGGGAACACCCTTCCTAGGCCCTGCCTGGGTCACAGCCCCTCCCTGAGAGCCCCCGAAGGGGCCTGACGCGTTGGGCAAGGCTGGCCTGGAAGCCTTCCATCCCCTTTGCCCAGTTTCCCTCTCCTCTAGGCCTCCTTCTGCCTGGCAGCTGGTATTGGCAGCACCAAGGTAGGGGCCAGGCTGGCTGCCCTCTCAGGGCCCAGCCGAGCCAAGACTTCTGGGGATCATTCTCTCCCACCACCCCGTCCTCAGGCCTTGGTAGGCCTGCCCTTCTATCTCCATTCTCTTCCCCCTTCCACTTTCCCACCTTCGTGCTCCTCCCCACCTCCCCTCTCTCATTCGTTTTACTTCAGAGAAAACCCCAAGTTAAAAGCTGCAGAAGCTGGAATGTCCGGGACCCACACATACACTTCCATGTGTGGTCGCAGTCTTAGCTGGCACGCCCATGAGGAAAGGAATTGAAAACTGTAAGGGGGTTCACAGAGGACTGAGGGAACCTTGCTCTTTAGATGCTCCACTGGGGGAGCCCTGGGGAGGAAGAAGCACGGGCCTCCCCCTCCCTTCTTCCCGGACTCTGTGCAGTGCCTTTGGCAGAGGAGGCTCAGATGCACAGAGCTGGGGGTGGGGGGTCAGGGGGAACCTGCAATGAGAGTCAAATGCCAGAGCTGGAAACAACCGTAAAGATGATTTGACAAATGGGGAAACAGAGGCTGGAGAGGGGAAGTGACTTGGCCACTGTCACGCAGCCTGTCAGTGGCAGATCCAAACCCATTGCCACAGGGAGGGTGGGCCCCACTTGGCACCTATGCCCTCCAGGCTCTCACTCTGAGCAGGTGGGCAAGTCAGTGGGTGGGAGCAGACTCCTGGATTTCCAAGGCCTCTGAGTCATACCAGGGGGGGCCAAGGACCACCGTTGCAATGTACCCACATCTGGGCATCTGGAGAGGACGGTATGGGGGTGCTGGCTCCAGAGTGGGAGCCCTGTCTGCCCACTTCCAGGCAGCCACCTCTCCAGCCTCCTCCCCAGGGCCTACAGGGGCCTGTTGCTCTAGCTGGCAGCCCCACCCACCCACAGAACATCTGGCTGGGCTGGGCTGGGCTTGGTTAGGGGTTGGGCAGTCCTGGGTCCTAAAAAGGTAGCATTGAGGTGCCAGTGAACAGAACTGGAGGGGCTAGCCTAAAAGGACGTGCCCAGTGCCCTCAGAGCCCTCCTGTGCCCTTCCCCACGCTGTGTCCGTGGTGCGTTCTGGCTCTCCCAGACGGTGAGGCTCGGCTTTTTCATTCTTCTCCTGTTGATTCTCTCTCTCTCTCTAGGTCTCGCTCGTTCCCCGGGTGACTCTGTCTGGGTTTCTCCCATTTCTTTGTGCCTCTGTTCTCCCTTAGAGATGCAGTCGGAAGGGGAGGAGCTTTGGAGCTTTCCCAGGATGGGCAAAGGCCACCCAAGGGAGTAGAAGAGGGGAGGGTGTCAGAGTTGGGTTGGGGGCAGAGGTGACTGTGGTCATGGCTCCAGATAACACCCAGAAATGTCAAATTTGGGGTTTCTTTTTGCTTTCAGTCCCCGGGTTTGGTCTCTGCTATTTCTTACCACAAAGCACCCTGGTGGTTTTAGAGGCCCAGACTATAGAGGAGAAAAACTGAGGCCTCGGGGAGGGGATTCAGGAGGATCAGAGACGGCCTAGGGCGCGGACTGAGCTGGGGTCCCAGGATGGCCTCCCCTAACTGCCCCTCATCCCCAATTCCAAGTCACACCATTACATGGGGGAGTGAGGGAGGATTAAAATATATGTTACATATAAAAATAATATAATTAAAGAAACATCTTACGGGGATACGTTCCTTCAAAGAAGACTGACCATATTTTATGAGGAAGAATAATGATTCCTGGCCTCGTCTGTAGTTAGCGCAGTATGCACACATCCTGGAATGAATCACGGTACAGTTGTGTGCAAACATGTTTGCACACTTCAACTCAACTCATCCTTGCAATAACCTTGGAGGTAGGCACAGCCAGAATCATCCCCTTTGAGCAGTTCAGGAACGAGGCCTGTCCACAGCTGTCTGGCCAGGGAACGCAGAGCTGGCTCCAGGATCCAAGTTGCCTGGCCCTGTGGGAAGGGTCTCGACGGTAGAGACTTTCTTGACTTCTCCCAACCCCAGCACACACCCACAGAGTGAAGCTGTCCCCTGTGACTGGGTAGCCCGCCATTGTTCCGTGGGGCTTCATGTGGCATGTCCATCTCCACGCCAGTCCGGGCCCTGCTCTGTGGGATGAGGCAGATGACTATGTTGGCGTGAGTTTCTGAAGGAAGGAAAGAATTTTCCCAGGACCCACTGCTGCCCTGTCCTTGGAGACCAGGTTAGCAGAGAAGGCCCGCTGATGCCCCTACCCTGGGAAGAACAGATAGAGGTCACCTTGACCTAACCATCCGTGGGAGGGGGCGGAGGGCATGGTACAGAGATGCCATTGTTTCCTCTGCTGCAAGTCCCTTCTTCAAGGAGAGTTCCTGTTGTGCAAGAGCCAGAGGGGAGGTGGGGTGGAGCTGAAGAGCCTTCCCAAGCAAGCTGGAGGTGGTCCAGGGCAGATCTCTGTGTTCAGCAGAGAGGGGCGAGCTGAAGCCTTTGGGCTCCTAAACGTCCTGTTTCACCCCCACTTTGCCTCCCCGGCATTGTCCCCCTCCACTCCAGCTCCCACCCCCAAGGTGACTGGAAGACAGCCACAGGCCCATCCTCAGCATATACTGATACCCCCCAAAACCAATGCCCCTGCCTCTCTCTGAGTCGCCTCACCCTGGTACCTCCCAGTAGAAATCTGCCCCCATTCTGGTTCATTAAGACAGGGCAGGACCAAGAGCAGGTGTGTGTGTGCACATGGTGAGGAATTTTGTGTGAATTTGGGACAGGGGAAGGAGCTGCTGGGTCCTGGGGGAAGCCTGTTCTCCCTTCCTACCCCTGTCCCCTTTCCTCTACCACTCTTCATGGAAGTCAATTTACAGTGAAGTCACCAAGGGAACACAAGGCCATCCTGCCCCGAGGCGTAGCGACTGTCCTCTGTTTCTGGGAACAGAGTGAGAGGAGGAGTATGGGACTGACAGAGTGGGTGGGAGTGGAAATGCTCCTTCCTTGGCCCAGCAGCCCTGACCACCTGCCTTGGGGGAGATGCTGGCAGGACCTGGGGTGGGGTGGGGGGCAGTGTGCAGCCTCTGACCAGCCAGGAGGGCAGGGAGGGGCCCACCCTCAGCTGGTGAGAGAGGAGCGGTGGGTCATGGGCACAGAGCTGGGCAGCTGAGCGGGACTGGTCGCTGTCCTGAGCAGGCCTGCGTCTGATCTTACTCCCATCCTCATGCACAGTGACTCATTTTCTCCTCCTTCCAGCCTAACAGGAAAGC